ACTTGAAACTTGTACCTGTGACTGGAACTAACTGAACTGCTGTGGGACTCCACTCACAACAAATAACCAATAACTCATTGACTTAGAGAATCCTCCTGAGCCTAAGACTAAACGTTGCTGTACATAGAATGAATGAATATTAATAGTAATAATAGTACAGTATTAATATATAGTTATAGTCATAGTCATAGTCTAGTTATAAGTTTAAGATACATATGTTTTACTGTATATACTGTATACAATATTTATAGTCTTTTGCTACATTTTTTGATTATTGAAATTTGATATAAACATGATATCATATGATATGAGTCAAGAGTCTGGGAACGACTGCTTTGTTCAGTGCTCACTCTGGGGCTGGTGGATGCTATCTTTCCCCGCGCCAAGGAATCTGGTGGAGACGTGGGAAAGGGGACAGCTTCACCAGTTCATCATGCTGGCGGAAGAGAACCCTGAGAAGACAATGGCAGAGGCTGCTGATACGATATGTAGTATATGATATTGACATTGATATATGCTATATGATATGATGGTGTGACTGAGTCATGAGATAATCACGTGACGGGCTATGATAGTTTGCTTTGGTTTGTTTTGATGGATTGTCAGTGCCGCTCTATGAGAGCTCCATAGAGCTCCTGTCTACTGTGTAGGCTCCGGTGTTGCACACAAACGAGCCCATACATCTTGGAACATCTTGGTAGTAGCACCAGCAGTGGAAACAAATGTGATGTGTCAAACTGCAAACCTTCTTCTTTGCAATCAAAGTGCAAACCACCTGAATCATATACAGGATCTAGGATCTACCACTTAGGCTAGTGATACCTACTGGCCACCCTGTACAAATTGCAAAGTGCTTTGTCAGAGGTCGTCGAGCTCTTCAACACTGACCCCAAGATCCAAATGCCCTTTGTCAATTTTGTGGACGAGAATCTCGTGGTCTACAGATGTCATGCTGTAAAGGAAGAGGACCAGCCCAAGTGCATTTTGCGTGCCTGGTTGCAAATGAGTGAGAGTTCACGGAACACCTAGCAATAGTCTCTTACATGGGTGGACCAAGTCTCCTTCGTACACATTCTGAGTTGTGAAGACAGAAGGCTGAAGCTCATCCACCCAAGCCCCCAGGTCATCCAATCCTAACAATTGTTTGATGCAGGACTACAGATTTCACATCGGGCCATGACTCATGACCCAATTACTCTAAGTGTTGAACAGGTCAGCCATAGGCTGTACATGATAGGCAATGGGTATGTCACGACCAGCATTGGATTGGGCTGGACTCAATGAAAATCCTCTTTATCCAAGGTACAGAGATTGTCGACGCCTCCGGCAACCTGTTAAAGTTGCCCACGCCACTCCCAAGGCCACTTGCTTTCACCTTTCAAGCCTGTGACACTTTTTGGTGATTGAACAGGAGTTTATTCAGGCATTTCAGCATTTCAACATTTCAGCATTTCAGGCTGCGTGTGGCAGTTTTAGATCAACTATTTTTGCAACCATACCGTACCATGTCATCAGAATAAATGGCATTTTGTGATCGTCAATAAGGTTTGAGTACAAGGGCCTCTATGTCGAGGAGGTCACTTGGCCTTCAATGTGCAGTGGAGTTGGGCCGCAGTTTGGTTCAGCGCTTCTTTTGATGCGCTAGGATGTGCGCGTGTGTGTGTGTGTTTGCATGTACTGTATATACCTGTGTGACTTGGGTTTTTTGCAGCCTAGGCTAGGCCTCTGTAGATTCTCTGCGCTGTGTTGTAGACTGTTATCGACAGTTATCGATTTCAAGCGTACCGGACCGTACTTGCTCATTGATATACTATATAATACTATATGATATGATTTGCTGATATGATATGATGATATATTAATTCATATATCATATGTCATATATCATATACTGTATACTGACTGTACTGATAGATATACTGTAGACTGTATACTAGACTGACTGGACTATATAGACTATACACTGGAACAAGGAAGCTGAGGTTTTCAAAGTCAATTTATTCTACAGTAAGAGATGCTGCTGCCTGTTTGATCAAAAGCTTCCGGTTTTCAGCTTTCAATATGGCTGAGTGCAGCTGAGTTCAAAGATCCCTCGCGCCAGCGCATGCCACCCTCCTTTATGCTCTGCCAGCCCAAGAAGCTCTTACCTGATCCGGAGTCCAAGCCCGCTCCACTGAAACGGAGCAGAGATCCAAAGCGTCGGTAGTCAGTAGTTGTGGCTACCTGGCTACCAAATTTTGTGGTTTGATTTGTTGCGACCACAGAGCACTGGCGCCACAAAGTGTTGTTTTGCAACCTCACCTCACTCACCCACGTTTCAGAAACTTGTAGCATGTCATTGTAGAGTCAGTCTCTGTTGCAAAGCGCCAGTGTCTTCAGGGGTTCAAGGGGATAGAAAGAGTCTGACTTTCACTGAGCCAGTCTTTTCTTAAAGGGGACTACCGACCGTATCAGCGATTTGAGCTGATACAAGATCGGAATCTGAGATTTAGATTTAGCTGTCATTGTCGTCATTAGATTAGTTGTTGACAGTGGTGACAGTCCAGCGGCAGGAAATGATAAAAAAAAAGCACCTGTTTGCACACGTTATGCTGTACTGTATACTGCATCTTGTTTCCTGCGTACATACTGCTACAGCACTGCTACCGCTACAGCATACTGCACATGCAATCGTCATAGTGGCTTCATTTCCTGACCTTTGCAACCGCATTTTCACAAGTTGAAATTCTGCATTCATGTCAGGTGGGCCTGACCTGATTCCCGGTACACTGACAACCAGCCAGGCTGAGTCGTGGCTTTTCATAGGTCCTGGAGTCTGCAGACTTAGATAGACTAGACTTAGACTGTCTGATAGACTAGACTGACTGGTTTGATATAACTTTTGTAACTTTTATATTTTGTATCTGTATCTGTATACTGTAAACTCTGTATACAGTATAATTTAATGGTATACAGTATGCGGTATACCGATACCGATGCCAATACCTAACAATGACTATAACTAAACTTATAGACTCACCTGAAATCACCAGGTCTGCACCTTCAGCACATGGCCAGTTTGACACTGATTCATGGTTGACACACAGGCCACTGGCCTCAGAGCCGTGTTATTACATCACCCATGCATGCAGCCTAAGATAACGTATTTTCAGTTTGCACACTGTTCCCACTGTTAGTGTTGCTGGAAAACAACACAGTTTTCGTTTTAGTGGCCAAGAAGTGCCGGGCCTGGTCAACTGTTGTGCCCATGCGAGAATAATTAGGGTCCGGTCCGGGTTTGCCAAATTGCCAGGGCCTGGACACTTCAAACTGTTTGAACAACAGTTTGCCTGCTGTTGAATAAAAGCACGCTTGAAGCCTGCACATGTGCCCAAGCACTGCCCTGCTTTGGAGTCCGCTGCTTGAGGTTGAGGTCAGGTCAGGTTCCAAGAGTGTCTCCAATGCAGGGACCATTTTTGATCAGGCTGCTGACAGCAGCATCATTTCTTGCGAAAGCCGCTCCGCCCCTTGTGTTGGGGCCACCATGCCCAAGACCGCTGACGCTGATGCTCATCCATCCGATGGTGAGTCCGACATCGAGGACGATGGTAACAAGGGCGTCGATGATAATGATGGGAAAGAAGAGGAGGAAGACGAGTGCCAGTGTGACGGTTCGACAACATGTGCCCATTGTGAGCAAGAGTTTGGATCGCATGACAAGGACCGGATTTTTGATTAAGCCTGAAATCCAAGCCACCTTATGATTGGAACTAAGAGTTTACTATTGACTCATGATGACAACTCATGACTCATGGACCACGACCATGAACTTAGCCTCGTAACTTCATTGCATTTCAAAACTGCCGTTCTGTTTCTTTCATAGCTGCTCGCTTCTCTAGAATTAGCAGTTTTGATACAGAGTAACACACCCAATTCCTTTTAGCTTTTTCACCCGTGCCCACCAGGACAAGCCCAAAGAGTACACTGAAGATCTGATTGTGCGCCCTTCCCGTGTAGGTGCTTCACTTTGCGGACCTTGCTTCTACGTTCTCCGAGGATCTTTCAGGGGAAGCTCACAGCTGGAAGTCACCACCGCCATACTTGCACATCCCAAGGTCAAATCAAAGCGTCTTGGCTTCGCTTTTTGCAAGTTCATTGATTTATGTTAATTCTGTTATGTCCTGTCATCCTGTTTCTTACTGTTCGAATGCTGGTGCAAAGCTATGTTAGCACACGTGATATGATCATCTTGGTAGTATTCATATTTTGTATCTCACACTGAGACATAGAGTCATACAGTCATAGAGTCACACATACATACTCAGTTCCTAATTTTTAAATCATATCACATCATATGAATCACTGAATCAGAATCACACATTTTTATCTGAGCTGCGATCGATCTATATTCTATACATCATTCCAACTCGTGCTCATATTGAGGCAACGCGAGCTCAGACGGAAAAAGGTTGGCAGCTTATGCCTGCACCCAAAGAAGAAGATTCGCCATGAACGTTGCAATCTATCAGAATTGGTGAAGAAGAGTGAAAGCTCTTACGTCGACTTTCAACAGGCGAGATATGGTCTGGTCATTTATGCTGCCAGAGTTGCCGGTTACTCATTGTGATTTTTTTTGTGGATTTATGACGACTCCTTCACTGATGATTGTTATTTTTCCGATTCTATGATGATTCTATGATAGGATTTGATATGAATGAACCGGTATGGTATTTCTCATGACTCATATGACTCATATGACTCTGACTCGACTCATATGACTCCACAGTGTGTGTTGGGCAGTGTGGCTCCGGTATTGAGAATTCGGACTTCGATTCACACTGTCTATATCCCACTTGCCCTGGCCATGATTGGCCCCTTTGCACCTTTGCAGTCAATCAGTCAACAGGCTACCTGGACTGTACTGTGCTGGTACTATAGACCAAAGCTATGACTAGGACTATACTGTACTGTATGCTGACTGTATACAGTATACAGACAGTACATACTTTACTGTACAACATATGCCGTGTTTCTTCAAATCATTTGCATGGATTTGCCAGGTCAATCGGTTGGTATCACTGGCAGACTTCATCGAGGGCTGCAAGAAGAAGCCCAAAAAGCAGCTCAAGACGGAGAAGGAGAGGAAGAAGTGGATTCGCGATAGCTTTCCTGATATGAAGTTCGTGAGACACCCAACCACCAAGGCTTGGGCCGTGCCAGTCGAGAAAGACATGTTGATGCTTGTTGGAGAGAAGACGTCTGCTACTCGCGAGAAGATCGAACATCACGAAACCAAAGAGGATGCAAAGGAGTCCTTGAAGCGTGGCAGGGACAGCATTCGTTTGGAGAGCAACCTGAAGGCCGGGCTGGACACTATGACTATAGTCTATAGTGACTAGACTTGTAGACTGTATATAGGCCTTACGACCTTATTACTACTATTACTTCCTATTGTCTATTACTAATTACTAATTACTACCTACCTTACTACTACTACTACTACTACTACTACTACTACTAACTACCTTATTTAGACTCTGACTATACTGACGACTGGACTATACAGTAACCTTACTATATCATAGAATCACGGCGCAAATACTCTTACTACAAGGACTACTACTGCTATACCATGACTAGTACTATTGCCAAGATCATTAACAAGTCAGTCTGACTGTGACTTTAGTGAACCAGCTGCCCCACTTTAATCGCCGTGGCCAAAGGCCCAAAACCAAAGATACCCAGAGCTGACTTAGGTGATACGATGAGCACGGATTATCACCGCCTCTCATTACTCTCACATCACATCACGTCACATACTCACCTTTGTGAAGGTTTATCCACTGCTGGGTGTAAGGTGTCGACTGCTGTACACTTGTGGAGTCTTGTATACTGTATACTGCACTCCTTGCCCAGGCTGATGTTGCAAAAGCCTTGAACAAGGATGACGATTCCGTCGACGATGAGCCCGAGGATGAAGAGAACGACTCTGATGCTGAATCAACATCGAGCTTTGGGCTAGAACAGGATGACGAGGCTGCGAAGCCGGCCAAAAGACGAAGAACTAAAGAGACAACAGCAGCCAACACGAAGCCGACTGAAGCTGTTGCCAGGGTTCCCAAGCCTGAGATTCCAGGCAGCTCCACAAAAGATGATACTCCGAGGCCCAAGGTGAAGGCAAAGGCTTCTGCTGCTTCCGGCAAAGAGGAGAAGTTGACCAGGGCTCAGAAGGCAAAGCAAGATCGGGCTGATCGCTGCTATTCCACCGCCACCAAAGCCTTCACTGCGATCAAGGAAATCTCCACTGATATGGTCTGGAGGAGTGTGATTCGGACTGGTGAAGTGGAGCGAAGAGTTCAGAAGTGCTACCAGGCCCACGCTGAGCTAGAGGCTCAAGTGGCTGAAGGCCAGTTTGCTGGCAATGCCGAGGTGGCTGCTGTTTGCGAAGAGATGCCCAAGAGAGCTCTCTTGCTTACTCAGACCAAAGACTTGTGCAAGGGCATCCGCGGCTCAACTCCTGACAGCATGGCCAAAGACGTTGCAACTTGTGGAGAAGTGAGCGCTCTTTTCCTGACTGTCTTCGGCAGTGTCGTGAGTGACATCCCGTCCACCAATGACATGTTGCAGACTGTCGCCAAGAAGTTGCACGCGGCCGCTCGGAATATGAAGACTTCTCCAGACTGAACTAAGCTGACTATCTCACTATCCTAATTGCCGTTCAGTTCATTGGAATCTGTTTTAAAATTGTAACTGTATCAGTATCAGTTTATCTTAGATAACCATAGCCAGACTCATAGTCAGAGTCATAGCCAAAGTTATCATAAATCAATCATTAAATCATAACATAATCATAAATCCTGAATCATAATTAAATCCTGAAATTCCCTTCTTGGTCCGGAGTCCAAATTTGCTAAGGCAGAAGATCACTTGTTCATCAAGTTCTTGAGGCTGATGCCGCCACCTGTTGGTGATGACGCTGGCTTTTCTTTGTACAAGCTTGGAAAAACTATGGAGGTTAACACCACGGCGGAAAGTGAGGACCACCCGTACTTGTGGGCGTATCTCCTCAAGCTTCAGCTTTTGTGCATGAATGACTTCTATGAGAAGCTTCGCCTTCCAACAGCCCCTTCTGTTTGCGACAAAGCGCTCCCTTTGCTTTTGCAGGCCAAAAGCTTGGACCAAGCCCAATGGTTCCTTGTCATCGATTCCGACTTACTTTGGACTGGGCTAGGCTGACTAGGCCCTATAGGCTTTTTGATTTCTGACTAGACTGGACTGAGCTGGACTAGACTGACTGACTACTACTACTGACTAATATTCTTGGCAAACAATGGTGTTGCTCTTGCATTGCTATCGCAACATCCGTAATACAGTAACAGGTTGCAGATCCGTTTTCCATTCAACTGCCAATTGTATTACAATGTACTGTACAGTTGACATTGCTTAAATCATATTTTGTAATTAAACTATTCTATTGCCTATAGCCTATAGCCTATAGCCGTCTATTATTTATAGTTATATATTATTATTGGGAAATTGTCATTGTCCAGTAGCTAAGCTATTCTTTGCCGGCCTCAATTCCCAAATTTGTTGAGGCTTCCAGCATCGGACATGGTGCCTGCAGACGTTGACTTCCATAGCCTTCCCAATGGAACAGGATTTCAAGGACAAGTGATGATTGACCTCCAACGCATCCTGGCCTGCCTTCAGATCTACAACAAGAAGCCAGAGCCACGTTTCCTTTCCATGGTGAGTCGCGAGACTAGCTTTTCCAGTAAGATGGTCATGGCTATGAATGCCCAGTCTGAGTGGAGGCTGGGACAGCCACGATATGTGTTATCAGTTAAACGTTCATCATTGATCATTTCAATCATCATTTATGATTCATGATTATTAAGTCTGTTCCCTTCTGAATATTCACGATTCATACTGTATTTTGGATCATGAAACTGTGTTTTGGTGCTTGCAATGTTTGTGCGCACGTCACCTGTATCACATGACACCATTGCTGAAACACCCGCCATCTCATCCCAATCCAGATTTGAGTGCTGTGTTTTTCCGAGTCATTCCATTTGTCTATATTGGTGCTGCAGGTCGTAGATGCAGCTGCTGTTCACCCAACCTTTCTAAGACCTTCCCTGCCCAGGCTTTTGTGGAGTCAAGTTTTGGCAGAGTCCAAAGCCTTTGCTGAGCGGACCATCCCAACCCTTGATTTGGTCTCTTTCGGCAAGCTTTGCGGGGATGTGACTAGTTTGGAGAAGCTCGCGGATGATAGCACCTATTCTGAGGATCAGCAAAAGTCCATCAGGGACCTTACCAAGATGCTGGCTAGTTGCTCAGACGAGGACTCTTTGTTTGAGGAAGATGCTGATTCCAAGGCCAAGTTCCTCCAGTACATTCGGGAGGTGTCCACTTGGTTCAAGGACTTCAGGCCTCCTGTTGAAAGGGTCCTTCAGCCACTGGGAACCGTGCTCTCACCAAGCCTCTTGGAGTTGGAAGGCATCACCGACCTCGCGGAGTGCTTCCCGCCAGGTGCTTTGAAACTGGCCTCAAACATCGACAGCGTCTTCATGCTCCAATGCACCTTGACCTTGATTCCGGATTCCTTGATACCTTGATGACTGTTTCAATTTCGGGCTGACGTACTAGTACTTAGTACTCACTTGACTCACTTATTATATTTGACTAACTGACAGATCTTCATTTTATTAAACTGTTGCCCAACGTTGCTCCAGTGCAGTGTAAATGAAAGTTGTTTGCTTCTTCACTGTGAGTCTGCGAGTGGAGAATTTATTGGTTACCAGCCTGTCACATTCCACATGCCCATTCCCAGCTGAGTCGTGAGGTGAGATGCAGTTGGCTATGGAAGCCATTGCTTCTACCGGCGTTGAGCCGATCTTTGGCCTGGAGTCCTTCCTCAAGTGCTGTGAGCTGACGCGCCATCAGCCTGCTGGAGCCACAGACCTAGATGAGACAGACCTTGACATGACTGGGAAGCACTTGCTGCTGCTCATGAGCTTTGTGCGTGGTGCCACGGCTGTTTTCGACAAAGTCTTGAAGGATGTGGACAGCGAAGACTTGCAGAAACCTGGTAATGATAATGCAGCGTCACGTTTCCTTTCAAATCATCATCAAATCATATCATACTGTACGTGTATCGAATTTGAATTCGTGTTATGTTTTTTGCTTATCATGAATCCTGAATCCTCTCACTTGACTGTTTGCTATTTACTGTTCACCCCGTTGAAGCTAGGTCTGAGACTGTTTCTCAATAGACTTCACTCAGCGATAAGACTGCCATTGAGGAATGGAATGATGCCAGCGATTTCGCAGTTCAAGAAACACATCTCTTGGGTGGAGAGGGTGTGCAATGCCAAAGGTTTGGAGCTCATCGTCAACTATCCCGCTGGCCCACCTTCATCAGAAGCTTGGGACTACGAACGCATGGTGACCAGCGAGTTCCACTCTTTGGCAGCTTCTTTGCAGGCAGCAGGGCTAGGTAGAATTCATACGATTCATACTGTATACTGGATTTGTGATAGGGTTGGATTCGAGATTTCTTTGCACCAGCCAGGTCAAAGAACAGTGGGCAGGATTGACTTAGGAATCAAAGAAAATACCTTTTTAGACGTTTGGACCTTGTTGCTTCAGGCTTTTTTGTCAATTACAGGACTCCAGGACTCACGATTCTGGAACCCTGGAATCCATCAACATCCATTGACGACCGACTGACTACAGACTATAGCTAGAGTCATACATACAGGTACAAATACAATTTACAGGACCAGGATACTGCACATTGAATACTGTGCTTGCATGAGACAAATGGGATCAATGATCAATGGGACAAATATGATATGATGTAATGTAAGTAAGTTAGTTCTTTATTGTGTGGCATTAGCTGTGGCATTGTTCAATGGCTGTACTAAATTGTTTTCAGGTTTGGGTTGTGAATTTGCCTGGTCAGGCCATCGGCGATGTGCCAAAGGCGGTCCAGATCCTGAAGGATTCCTGCAAATCCGAGAGCATCGACCTTGAAGACATTGTCAAGAGCATCTCCAATTTTGAGTCCATTGGGTCCGCTCTCAACAATGACTTCATCCAAAAGAATACCTTTTTCCAGTCTCTTGCGGAAAGCTTCACGGAGTTCAGGGGAGCGTTCCTGGATTCAGTCAAGGTGGCCGTGAAGAGCTTTGAGGACGCCCACCTGGCAATCTTCCAGCAGTTTCTTGACAAGTATGAGTGTGTCTTGCCTGCTGCGGAAAAGTGGCAAATGCAACCAGTGGCCTCCTTCTTCAATGAGAATCAGGATGAAACTCGGGAGGCGCTGGACCAGATCATTGCCGCGAAGAGCAACGCTGCAGGCCCTATGAAGGCTCTGTCGCAATTTTGCTCACACAGCACCAGCTGCAAGGACTTCAAAGAGTTGATCCAGCAGTGTGGCCAGTTGCACAAGAGGAGTGTGGACTTGGCTTCCAAGGCCAATCTCACTGGAAGTGTCCTCTTGGCCGCAGCTTTGTTGCTGAACACCTCTTCCTCGCCAGAAGATGGAAAGGCGACGCAGGAGACCATGAGGAAGGGGTTTGGCATCACGAAGGAGCAGCTTCCCAGCAAGCTCCAAAAGATGTTTGGTGACTTGGTGAAGTCCACTGCTGAGGCCAAGGGATCGGGATCAGCGAAAGACAAGAAAGAGAAGCAGTCTGAGAAGAAGGACAAGCGCAAGAGGGAGGGCGGCCGGAGAAGTCCAAGAAGGACAAAAAGTCAAAGAAGGACCTGAAGCTTGAGAGTGGTCAGGAGTAGGCTGTAAGCCACTGAAGGCTGCATTCACTGTGCAGTTACCACTGAACCGGGGACAACGTGGAAAAGGGAGCGTTGCCATTTTGCAGCTGACGAACTTGTGATCACATATTATATTATCACTCTGACTCATATATCTATATCATATATCATATAATTTCAGAACATCCACTAAAACATCAACTTTAACATGGCTTTATCCCAGCAGGTTTCAGAACATCAAGTAGAACATGGTTTTTACCAATATGTTCTTTTTAAGACATCAACTTGAACATCAACTTGAACCTATACGGATAGCCCAACAGAGATAGAGACTACCCGATGAAATAAGGTATAGACACTAAAAGGTGACACGACTGCCTCGACAGCACGATGCACATCAATTGTCCACCACCACGATACATGGACAGATTGTTCGTTCTCGAAACGTGTGCGTCTTTCACCTTGCCTGTCCCCGATTCCCATAGATCTGAAGAAGCCAAAGACTCTACAGCTTGTCCCAGCTTTGAACAAGAGTTCTGGTCTCATTTCCTGCAGCAAAATGGCCTGCTCTTCAGCTGCTTCTCGTCGCCTCAAGGCGGCGCTGTTGAACCCGCTGCCGCCCTTGGGTTTGGCGCCCGAGTTGAGGGCCGAGGTCCTCACGGCCGGAGGCCCTGAACGGCTGCGCCTGGTGCGACGAGGCTGGAAGTGGACGGAGATGAAGGTGGTGGATGAGACACAAGTGGAATGAAAGGGACCTCCTAAGTGAGTAAGTTGGTGATGAGTGAAAAACGGGACCTCCAACTTACTCGCGATGGCCTCCAACCTACTTACTAGCGATGGCCATGAAGTGAAAAAGCATGGTGAGAAGAGGTCCTTGATTTTTGTGGAACAGTGCCGTTCGAAGATGCTTCAAGGAAGATTATGGATCGTTCTCCAGGAGATTGCCAGCAAGAAACTGAAAACACAACGTGCAAAACAAGGTTCGGGACCTCCACAGACCACTCTGAGGGACTGGGATGTTGCAGCTTCAGTGCTGGTGTGACTGGTGTGATGTTATATGCCAAGGCACTTTTCGGTTTACTGGGCCACCAGGACTCTCACCAACACAGGGGCTAAAGGACAGCGCACAACCTCCAGCTCAAATCACCAAGACACAACATGCTGTTGATTAGGTTGGAGGCCATTACTACTACCATTACTACTGGGAACAAGAAGCTAGTAGGTTGGAGGCCGAGGCTAGACGGGTGTTCCAATGGAGATGGATGGAGACCATCCGAGATGCCGCAAGGCTTGGAGACCTCGTTGGGCCACTTGCAGGCCTTGGCGAAGTCGCCGCTGCGGAGGCGCCAGCCGTTCGAGTCATATTTGTGGAGTAGAGGTCAGCCACAGTGGTGCATGTAGCCCTTGGGGTGGTGAATTTTCGGTGCATGACTCTAGATCAGAGCAAGTTCGGCTTTGTGATTTTTTCGGGTTGATTTTGGACCAATTGATGATTGAGCAGCCTGTCAGTCAAGGCAAACACGCCAAGGTACTGCCTCTGGATTTTCCGTTTGCCCGCACCGGTGGCCATGACCGCTGTCATGGCATGGATCCCCAGATGGTGTGGTGTGAGTCCACTGTCAAGTAGCGTAGTTGTCGTCGTGTCTGTTTGACGATCAAAAGAGAATCGGATCGTTTGTATTCCATGTGCCTCCTCCACATCAAAACACACGCTTGGCGGAGAGCCATGTTTGCATGACGAGCACGCCTGGCAGCCTGGCAGAAGAATCACCCAGCCTCCGAGGTTTGTGCCTGTTTGATCTCTGCGATCTTCCCGGCCAAAGAATAGAGCCGCAGACTTTGAAGGTATCTCCGGCTTGGTTTTGCTCTGGGGATGGATGCTGTAACACCTTAAAGCAGTTGCAGCACTGAAAGGAAAGATGCGACTCTGAAACCTGCACCGCCAGCTAAGCAAGCTGCCAGCTTTGCTTTTGCGGAGCATTTGGGTGTTCGGATTGCAAACCACTGTTTTGTACCAATGCATCCTTTAGAGCCAACCTTGCATGTGATTTGAAAAGAAGGGTGGTTCACGGGTTCATCGCCTTGGCCACTTGAAGAGAATTGAGGGCCTCAATGCCATCTAATAGCGATGGCCTCCAACCTACTAGCGACGGCCTCCAAGCTAGTAGCGATGGCCTCCAACCTAATAGCGATGGCCTCCAACCTAAAAAGAATAGTGATGGCCTCCAACCTACTCTAAGAGTGATGGCCTCCACCCTAAGAGCGATGGCCTCCAACCTACTAGCGATGGCCTCAAATTGAAGAGCGATGGCCTCTAACCTCAGAGCGATGGCCTCCAACCTACTTGCGATGGCCTCCAACCTAAGAGCGATGCGTATTAAGCACACTATCCATTCTTGCCGCTCCCACGCCACCATCCGCTGTGGCAGGTAGCACTGGTCAATCTTCTTCGGGCACAATTGGTGAGCCACTTGAGAGCTGTTCCCAATCTGGCCCTTGACACACAGAAAGCCAAAGTTTTCCTCATCTTTCCTCCAAGTGATGATCACTATTATTTTGATTCTTCTTGCAGAAATCTGTTCTGTGAGAGCAACTATCCACATACACTTGCTCTTGGGTGGCTTTCAAGCACGAGAGCCTCGCCGAGTCTGTTTAGCACAAAGACCCAGCAAGAGCAAAAATAAATGCTTGCAAGTGTAGTTCTCTGGGTCGCAATGCATCATTGGAGATCAGTGAAACATAGATCATGAGAGTGGTTCAGGTTCAGTTATTGGCGCTCTTTCGTTTGAACCGGCGGGATTGAGCCTGACGTCAATTGCATACCATGAACCTTCCGTGT